GCTTTGGCAAGCCAAAGGTGGTAAGGGCTGGGAGTGTGGATCAGCAGTGTGATGAGGATGAGATAGCACACTGCTACTGGGCAGCCGTCCCTGAGCCCAAGACGCTAGATGAGGCATTGAGCGGGCCCGACGCTGAAAAGTGGAAGCAGAGTGTGAAGGAGGAGTATGACTCTCTGCTGGAGAATGAGACGTGGGAGCTGTGTGAGCTGCCACCTGGGAAGAAGGTCATTTCTTCCAAGCTAATCTTCAGGCACAAGTACGGACCTGATGGGGCGCTGACCCGCTACAAGTCAAGGCTTGTGGCAAAGGGGTTTCAGCAGACAAAGGGGAAGGACTTTGACGAGATTTTTGCTCCTGTAAAAAAAGAAAAACACAGCGGGTGTCATTGGCAATGGCAGCAAACCGTGGATGGCGGGTGAAGCAGATGGACATAACCACCGCCTTCCTCAATGGGATCATTCTGGAGGCTGTACATGTTACAGCCTGAGGGATTAGATGATGGGAGCGGCAGGGTGTGCAGGCTGAAGAAGGCCATCTATGGCCTGAAGCAGGCTCCTCGTGCATGGTACCACAAGTTAGACGAGACACTGCTGGCTGGGGGTTTCAAGAAGAGTGAGTGTGATCACAGCCTGTTCCTGCTGCAAGAGAAGGAGCAGTTCCTCATGCTCCTTGTGTATGTGGACGACATCCTGCTTTTCTCTGAGTCGTCTGCAATGATTGAGCGTGTGGAGGAGATGTTGGAGATGCAGTTCAAGTGTTCCAAGATGGGAGATGTGAAGTATTACCTTGGGATGCATGTGGAGAGGGACCTTGACAAGGGAGTGTTGAGGTTGCACCAGAGGAAGTACTGTGAGGGGCTGGCCGAGAAGTATGGGCTGCAAGATGGAGGGAAGCCAGCAACCCCACTGCCTTCCGGGTTCACTGTGGAGCCCTGTGCTGATGAGGAGGTGGTGGGTGAGAGTGACAGGAAGGTGTTTCATTCCATGGTTGGGGCGCTCAACTATGCGGCTAACCACACGCGGCCTGACAATGCCTTTGCAACATCCAGGCTTGCCAGTGTGGTCTCACGCCCCAGTCATGAGCAGCTAGAAGCGGCCAAGAGGTTGGTCCGCTATGTGAGTGCAACGGCATCAGTGGGTTTGGAGTAGTGCTGTGAGGCAGAGGCTGCAGAGGGGTGCAGCTTATTTGAGCAAGGGGGAGATGCTCCTGACCTGCTACACTGACGCTAGCTTCAACTCTGTGAAGGCAGATGGCACCAGCATTGGAGGCTATGTGTGCCTGTTTGGAGGTGGTGCAGTGAGCTGGCACAGTAAGAAGCAGAATGAGGTGGGGCAGTCCTCGTGTGAGACAGAGTACATGGCCCTGCATCATGGGGCAAAGGAGGTGGTGTAGCTGAGGCGTTTGTTGGAGGAGATTGGAGTTGGTCAGAGGGAGCCGACTATCATGTTCTGTGACAATGAGTCGGCAGTGAAGCTTGCCAAGAACGCCTGCCTTCATGGGCTAACAAAGCACATCAGGCCCAAGTGGCACTGGGTGAGGAGGCTCCTGGACAAGGAGGTGCGACTGGAGATTGTGAAGACCCATCAGCAGGCGGCTGATATTCTCACCAAGCGCCTAGCTGATTTTGAGCATTGGAAGGGCATGAAGCTTGCTGGGATGAGTGTGCATTGAGGGTGCATGCTTGAGCTATGGCATGTGGAAGGATGGTAGGCAGCCAGAGGGGAAGTTTGTTATGTGATGCTATCACTTGCATTCACGTCTGTCTGCCTCCCATCATATGTTCGTGCGTTGCATGCGTGGTATGAGCGTGTGCAAGAATTTGTGTTTTCTGTGGTTTGGATTTTCTGAGTGTGTGTGAATGTTTTTTGGCTTCAACAGATATCTGAAGTGACCCCACTGCTCAAGAGCTTTCCGACGAACCAAGTATCGCTTCAATCGGAGCACGAACAAGAAAGTTACGAACGTTGGAAGTTCGTATGGTCTTGATATTTGGTTGTGGTGACTATGGGAAGTTGTGGGGTTGACTCCATATGGGGTACAGACTTTTGGGGGTTGGGAAATTCGTCAACATCACTGTAGATGCTGCCAAGTGATTGGGAGGAGCCAAACCAGGTTGGCAAGTGTGGCCAAGTTGGGCAAGGTGGATGGCATGGGTTGGGAAAGTGACAAAAGTGAAAGTGGGGTTGCCTATGGAGAGGGGAATTGTGTGGCATGGGGTTTCCTTGGTTGAGGACTATCTTGGAACCTTCCCTCTCGTCCTCCTCATCCCATCCCACCTGGTTTATTGCTACTCTAACTCTCTTGTGTAGCAATTGTGGTAATTGTGAGAACTTTGTGAGATTCTATGGCAGCATACCCCCCTGTGCGCCGAAATTGATAAGTCGAGATTTACTTCACCTTTTCATACGATTCAAATTGGGAAATGTAGCTACAGCCTAGGGCTACAACATATCTGAGTTTGGTGAAGTTTTAACCGTGAACTTTTCGTGACGGCGTTTCTTCTGAACTCGACGTTTCTGTTCAGAAACTAGGCCCAACGATTTTGAGAAATTTAGGCCCCTAATCTTCGTAGACCTCGTCCTTAGTCTCTAACAACTCGTTCAGCCTTGGCTCCGGCTCTGTTTCTTGGCGGTCTACATGCTCGTCTTCTGTTCTCAGCTCCAGTTGTGAGGCTGAGATCTACGCCACAGCCATGGCTGCACAGGAGTTACGCTGGCTCACCTACCTGCTGACTGACCTGGGAGAGCGGCCTCGCTCTCCTCCAGTTCTGTACGTAGACAACAAGGCCGCCATTGCCTTGTGTAAGGAGCACAGACTGGAGCACAAAACAAAGCACATCGCTCTGCGTTACTTCCTGGCTCGAGAGTTGCAGCAGCGGGGTCAGCTTCGCCTTGCTCACGTGGCCACTTGGGCCAACACTGCTGATATATTCACCAAGGCACGTCCGTCTGGTGACCATCAGCACTTTTGTACTTTGTTGGGCCTTGTGCCTACATTTCCACACTTGCTGTTGTCTCTGCTTGTATTGTGATATATATATGTATATACCCGTATATATATATATATACCTGCATGCTTGCTCTTGCTAGGTAGAGATCACTGTACTGTTCTTGTTGCATATATACCTCTGCATGTCAACTGGTCTTGTGGCCGTTTGCTTGTGCTCAGTGTGTGTGGTGACGTTGTGATCCACCCTGAGCTTGTTTTGCTTTCCTTGACTGGTCTTGTGACCTCTTTCTCTCCCCCACTTTGCCTATGGGGGTGTGTCAAACATATACATATGTTATAGTTTTGGGTAGGCTGTAGTGGGGTAGATACTGTGGGGTACAACCCCTTAGGTTTCCTTCTTGTACCAACATCTCTTGATAGTCAAATACATTCCTGCCTAGTTTCTAAGACGTTCGTACCCATGTACGTGGACTCCAGGTACTCCCACGCTCGCTGTGCAGAGTTCAGCTCCCCTGCAATCTGGTCCAAATCCACCGCGATTCCATCGGCAACTGAGTGACAAAGCTGAAAGAACGTTTGCTTACTTTGCTTTTTAAACGCCGCTATTTTCTCCTTCGTATCCGTCGTGGAAGGCGTTACTCCCTCCATCGTCTCCTCGTCGGGACGGTAGTACGGCAAGAGGTCCACCTCCTCTGCTCTCCGAATGAACTTCTTTCGCCACACGTTGTAGTTGCTCCCGTTGAAGCGCTGGGCTTCACTGAGCCCGATCGTCGGTTTCGCCACCAATCGGCCACTCGGAAGGGCCTCGAGAAGAGCCTTCAATTGCAGGTCTCCAAGACTCACACTGGAACCCGAACTCGCCTCGTCTCCCATAGCGTAGGCGTGAACGACTCCTCTTCTCCACTAATTTCACTTAGCGCACTAAGTGAATTCACGACGATCGACGCTCCTGTTCGCCAAGCTCTGATACCAGTTCTTAGGATCGTAAACACCTTAGTCGGCAATAGTCTACTTGCTATCGCCTATCGTGTTCTCCACGATCTCACGAATCCAATGATATGCGCAGCTCTGCTTGAAGTTGTCAATACACACTTCAGCAATTTTCAGAATCTCCAACTGATCAATGTTGTATTTTCCAGAATGAGTACAAGCAGTTTTATAGTCATGCAAGACACAAAACGCGATTCGTAACCTCACTTGTTTCCCTAGTAACCGCGTGCGCCTTGTACACCCCAAGTCGCACACGCTACCGAACCCAATTCAGTGAACACTCCTTTTCCGAATCCGGAACCTTCTCGAACACGCCTTGGTCTCGAACCACAATTTCCCCCGTCGATCTCATTCTCGATGCTTCTCCTTCTCTCTTCCTCGCACATTTCTTATAGATTTCTCTCCCGCTTCTCACGCCGTAGGCCGATTTCCACCACTTCACTCTAGAATAGTCCACACGCTTCCTTTGCCGTCATTCCGCCGTCGCAGAAGCTTTCGCCGTAGGTTCCGTGGTTGGGCGAACCAACCCTAACACCGGCGACCACCTGTGTGACCTGCGACGAGGCGTCGCCCAGTGTGCGATGGACCCCACTCAGAGAAGCGCCATCGTCCTAGATAATGGATCCGGGTAACCCCTTTCGCCATCCCTTTCGCGCTCAGGCTCCCCGCTTCCCTTCCTCCCTCGCCACTTGATAAACCGCAACTCTGTATCGTAATGGCCTCTTCAGTCGCCTCGCCCCTCCATTCCTCCATGTCGTTCACCCCACTCCTGCTCTGCTCCTCCTCTCCATGCGTCTCCTCCACACCTCCTGCACGATGGGGTTTGAAGGTAATCCACGGCCCAGCATCGTCATACTCACACAGCGGTCACGCCACAGCTCATGCGAATCTTGTTCCTGTCACTCTGTTCTTCACCCCAACCCCCTTCCCGCTCTAGGTTCACGAAGATGGGCTTTGCCTGAAAGCTAGACCCCAGCTTCGTCATCCCCATGGCAGCCGCCTGCCACGACTCCTCTGCATCCCACTCTTGCTCCTCCTCCTCTCCCTTCTTACCTTCCCAGGTTCACCAAGATGGGCTTTGGCGGCAATCTAGAGCCCAGCTTTGTAATCCCCACAGTCGTTGCTTGTCATGACTCATTCGCCGCCTCTGCTGCGCTGGCGGCGCCTGGAGCCAATGCCGTGTCGCCAGCTCAGCAGCAGCAGCAGGCCCACGTGGCAGCGCTCATGGCTGACCTGGACGTCCACGTGGGCGAGGCGGCGTACGCTGCTGCACGATCTGGGCCGTACAAGCTGACGCACCCTGTGCAGAGAGGACAGGTGGGTGGAAAGGGGTGCATGTGGGTGGAGAGGGGTGCAGGTGGGCGGAGAGGGATGCAGGTGGGTGGAGTGGAATGGGGAAACTGACACAACATCCAAGCTTTCGATTGGTTTGGCCCATTCAAACTGACACATCTCGTGTAGCAGAGGGGACATACCAGTGGGTGGAGGTGAATGGGGTGAGAATCATCAAGACAACGTTTAATCTGGGCCCCGTATGTAAACGCTGACGCTTTTAGTGCAGAGTGGACAGATGGGTGGAGAGCGGTGCGGGTGGGTCTCGAGGGCCGAACTGGGCCGTGATTCACACAATCAGCAGCGTGGATGTGTGGAAAGGGGAGAGGTGGGTGCAGGGAGGAGAGAGTGCACATTCTTCCACCAGACAGGGGCGGCCCGCCATGGGGCATCTGTGGCAGCAGAAGGCGTGATGGTTTCTGTCTATCCCTGTGTGATGTTTCCTTCCCGTGTATGCCTCATTCCTTTTTTCCCACCGCCAGATAGAAGCATGGGACGCCATGGAGCATCTGTGGCAGCAGAGCCTCTTCAAGTACATGCGGGTGGAGCCAGAGGAGCATGTGCTGCTGCTGGCTGAGAGCCCTCTCACCCCACCCGAACACCGAGAATACATAGCCGAAATCATGTTTGAAACGTGAGTGGGTGCAGTGCGGTGCAATCAGGTGAGAGCAGAGAAGTCTGTGGTGCCTGTTCATTCGGGCGGAGTTGGATTGGAGGAGCATGTGCTGCTGCTGGCTGAGAGCCCTCTCACCCCACCCGAACACCGAGAATACATCGCCGAAATCATGTTTGAAACGTGAGTGGGTGCAGTGCGGTGCAATCAGGTGAGAGCAGAGAAGTCTGTGGTGCCTGTTCATTCGGGCGGAGTTGGATTGGAGGAGCATGTGCTGCTGCTGGCTGAGAGCCCTCTCACCCCACCCGAACACCGAGAATGCATCGCTGAATCATGTTCGAAACGTGAGTGTGTGGGACACGAGTGCAGTGCATTGGGAGCAGAGAGGGCTGTTATGCCATGCTGAGAGCTCTCTCTTCCCGCCCGAGCACCGAGAGGGCTCTCAGCTAGCAGCAGAGAGGGCTGTTATGGCACGAGGTCTCCACCCCCTCCATCGTCTCCACCCCCTCCATCGTCTCCACCCCCTCCATCGTCTTTACTCACACAACCGGATCACGGAGAGCTCATCACCGAGAGTTCATCACCGAAAGTTCATCACCGAGAGTTCATCGCTGAGAGTTCATCATTGAGAGTTCATCACCGAGAGTTCATCCCCGAGAGTTCATCACCGAGAGTTCATCATCGAGAGTTCATCACCGAGAGTTCATCACCGAGAGTTCATCACCGAGAGTTCATCACCGAGAGTTCATCCCCGAGAGTTCATCACCGAGAGTTCATCACCGAGAGTTCATCCCCGAGAGTTCATCACCGAGAGTTCATTGCCAAAATCATGTTTGATAAAATCGTGGGTGCAAAGGGCCCCCTTCCAGTCTACCCTGTGCCCTTACTTCTTCGATCCCACCCCTCTGTCCCCTTCCTTCCCCTTGCCTCACTCACGCTGTGGATGCAGGTTCAACGTGGCAGGTCTGTACATGGCTAGTCAACCATCCCTTGCCCTCACTGCAGCAAACACGGCAGCTCAGGTGAAACCAACCCTGGCAGGTTGTGTGTTTCCAACAAGTTCACATGCACATACAAGGCAGTATTTTTGGAAATGATGGCAGAAAGCATCTAGACATCAATATGTTATGCTAGTTCCTTAGGTTACACACCCCATTCCTGGCAATTCAGCTATATTATTATATCCCTCTTGTGAACAATGCCGCTTTAACTCCTCCCCCATGCCAGTCTCCCAATATCCATCATTACGCTTACCAGTCTCCCCATTCCCCCCATCCCCCCTGCCTCCGTTCTCCTTCAATCAACTGAATGTATATCTCACCCCTCGTCCTCAGGTTTTCATCCTCTATTGAGACGTGTCATGTATACATCTCTCATTCCCCTTTCACCCCTGCTCTTCACGTCTTGAGGTCTTCACATGCTCGTCTAACCAGAAGCCCTCGTTATAGTCACATTTTAGAGTTTTGGGTTTCTACGTAACCCTAATAAATGGCCAGCGCTGGTTTCTCTTTCTAGACCCCCAAAGCCCTTATGGCGACACCCCTAAACTAGTGTGGAGTATAGGAAAACGTTTGCGCCAACCTATGCAGGAAGCGTTGAAGGTACTACTGCTGCTGGTGCTTCTAGACTAGGCCGTGGGGGGAATGTTAGCTAGAAACGAGCTAACAAATCAGCTTAGCTAATGTCCAGCGTCGACCTATAAATGTGTCGCGGGGGACATTTTCGACAAACACATTCGTGTTCGTCGCCGCTTGGCTAGCTGCGACGAACCGAGCACGAACATGTTCAGGCGAGCACGAACATATTCAGGCGAGCACGAACATATTCAGGCGAGCACAAACATATTCAGGCGAGCACGAACATATTCAGGCGAGCACGAACGTGTTCACCCCGGACAGTTTTGGCCAAAAGAAATCACCTGTTGGTCAGTTTGCTCACCTGTTGGTCAGTTTGCTCACCTGTTGGTCAGTTTGCTCACCTGTTGGTCAGTTTGCTCACCTGTTGGTCAGTTTGCTCACCTGTTGGTCAGTTTGCTCACCTGTTGGTCAGTTTGCTCACCTGTTGGTCAGTTTGCTCACCTGCTGGTCAGTTTGCTCACCTGTTGGTCAGTTTGCTCACCTGTTGGTCAGTTTGCTCACCTGTTGGTCAGCTATGTTGCGCCTGACGCGTCAGGCGTTTTTGACGCTGGCGTCTGGACGGGGCGTCCAGACGCTTGACGCCCGGTGCCCTCTGCCCTGGACGCCCGCTTGACGCTAGTCCGGGCAGGGCAAAAATGTTTTCCGGGCAGGGGTAAAAAAACCTGCCTAGTAAGGATACGCAGGGGTTAGAATGCAAGAAGTTAACATTTGTCACCTATAGTTACAAATACTCCATAATATCCAGAAAATCCTGAAAATCTCCAGAAGGCATGGAGGCACTAACAGAATGACCGGTGGGACTAGGAGTTGACATGATATTTTAATCGTCTTAACCTAATTCTAGCTAGGAAGGCTTAGTAGCGTGACTGGCGAATTCTAGTGTAAGGAATGCTTGACAATGTGTAGAGAAACAGATCTGTGTAATGTCGACCTAGATCTGGTTCTCTAGTTTAGTTGGGGGTCGACCAGGTTGGGAGAAGTAGATGTGGATGGGTACAAATGTGTGGGGGGGAATAAGTGAGGGTTGCGTTTTTTAGGTCAAAAACGCGGCCCCCAGTTGGCAATTTCATCGTCAATTCTGGTCGCAATGAAATCGCGAGTCAATTTCGTGCAGGAATTTTTTTTTTCGGGCTGCCCGATTTTTTTTTCCCCGAACGTCCAGCGTCAAACCCATTTGACACGTCCGGACGCTGGACGCTGCCCTTCCAGGGCGTCAGGCGCAACATAGTTGGTCAGTTTGCTCACCTGTTGGTCAGTTTGCTCACCTGTTGGTCAGTTTGCTCACCTGTTGGTCAGTTTGCTCACCTGCTGGTCAGTTTGCTCACCTGTTGGTCAGTTTGCTCACCTGTTGGTCAGTTTGCTCACCTGTTGGTCAGTTTGCTCACCTGTTGGTCAGTTTGCTCACCTGTTGGTCAGTTTGCTCACCTGGCAGTTGCTCACCTGTTGGTCAGTTTGCTCACCTGTTGGTCAGTTTGCTCACCTGTTGGTCAGTTTGCTCACCTGTTGGTCAGTTTGCTCACCTGTTGGTCAGTTTGCTCACCTGTTGGTCAGTTTGCTCACCTGTTGGTCAGTTTGCTCACCTGTTGGTCAGTTTGCTCACCTGTTGGTCAGTTTGCTCACCTGTTGGTCAGTTTGCTCACCTGTTGGTCAGTTTGCTCAGGTCTACTCCTAAGCATGCCCTCTCATGGCCCCATCTCTCCCCACCCTCCAGGTCCCAATGACAGGCGTGGTGGTGGATGCAGGCTTTGCTTCAGCCTCTGTCATCCCCGTGGTGGAGGGCTATGTGTTGGGGGGCAGCTCTCGCTCCATGCCCGTGGGCGGCGCTCACTCCACGGCCTTCGTGCAACAGCTCATGCGGGTAAAGCGTTGCTCTCTACCCTTTCATCTCATCTGCAACTCGCTCTGCTCTGCTGGTAGAGGGCTACGTGTTGGCAGGCAGCTCCCCACCCGTGCCGGTTGGGTTGGGGCCGCTCACCCCACTCCACGGCCTTGGTGCAAGAGCTGATGTGGGTACATAACGCTGATGGTGCAGCAACTCAACCAGTGGTGCAGCAACTCAACCAGTGGTGCAGCAACTCAACCAGTGGTGCAGCAACTCAACCAGTGGTGCAGCAACTCAACCAGTGGTGTAGCAACTCAACCAGTGGTGTAGCAACTCAACCAGTGGTGCAGCAACTCAACCAGTGGTGCAGCAACTCAACCAGTAGTAGAGGGCTATGTGTTGTGGGGCAGCTCTCGCTCCATGCCAGTGGGGGGCAGCTGTCGCTCCATGCCAGTGGGGGGCAGCTCTCACTCCATGCCAGTGGGGGGCAGCTCTCGCTCCATGCCAGTGGGGGGCAGCTGTCGCTCCATGCCAGCGGGGGGCGCCCACTCTACTGCCTTGGTGCAACAGCTCATGCGGGTAATAACCTGCTCTCTATTCTCATGCTTCTACATCTCTCTGGTGGTACACGGCTGTGTGTTGGCGGGCGCTCACTCTAGAGCCTTCATGCAAGCTTATGCCGGGTCAAGCTCGTTCGATGCCGCCACAGGTCTGTGTGGTTCGTCTCTAAGTTGCCAAATACGCTCAGGACACTGTGCGTTTAGCGGATATACGCTAGCGTTTACACGCTAAACGCTAAACGCAAGCTAATACGCTATACGCTTGCCAATTTTTTTTGGGGCAGCCCGACCGAAAAAATGTGAATATACGGAAAGATGCGGAATTGCACGACGAGCATTTTGCCACCGTCAAAATTCACGTCCGCGATTTGTGCAAGGGTGAACGGCGATTTCCGCGCTGATCAGCAATTTCCCTTCCCCGCAGATCCGCGCGGATCGAAGGTTCTTCCCGCAGAAGGGATGGGGGGAAAGACTCTCCCTAGAACAACGTCTTGTAGATCTGGACTGGAAGGAAGTGACGTGACGACTGTACAAATTTCAAATATCAAATTGGTTGGATGAGATAGATGCAATGCGGTGAAGATAGGTGATGGGAGGGGGAATTGGTTGGAGGCAACATTGGCGATGGGTGTGGGGCACGAATTCCAGCATTGGCGATGGTTTCCCTGTCCAGGATCTCTCCTACGCCTCCTCCTCCACTCTAGCAATCATGCCTTGTGATTGCGAGCCCGAAGCAGAGCAGATTCGCGCAACGCTATTGCAGTCTATAGCCTACGAACTCTGCATCTTAACCTGAATTCGGGCCGAGTCGAGGGTGGTTATCTTAGTATGGAGAAAAACTTACCTCTGAAACATAACCCCTTAGATCCCCCCCCCCTATAATAGCCCGGGCGGATTTTTTTCCCTGCCCGGGAAAGTTTTTTCCCTGCCCCAAAAAGCGTATGTCCAAATCGCTCCCTTACGCGTATAGCGTATATACGCTAGCGTATATACGATACGCGTATATACGCTATAAGCGTATATTGCAACTTAGGTTCGTCTTCTTCCAAATCAAACACGCAGGACATGGTATATTTCTATGTGCTATGAGATCATATGGTGTTGTATTGGTGTTACTCTTGATGGATTGTGATGGGAGGTGGCTCTTGTTTTCATTGCTCTTGCAAGCACCGATCCATGGAGGGTCACTCACTGCACTCTGGAGTATCACTGCACTCTGGAGTATCACTGCACTCTGGAGTATCACTGCACTCTGGAGTATCACTTTCATTTCTTATTTGATTACCCCATGGTCACCCCTTAGTTCATGTGTTATGCATGGTAAATAGGTATCCACAGGCTCCTGCGCTACCCCATGCCCTACCATGTCCTATCTCATGCCTTACCTCATGTTCTATCCCATGCCCTATCCCATCCCCTTTCCCTTGCCCAATCCATGCCCAATCCCATGCCCAATCCCATGCCCTATGCCATGCCCTACCCCGTGCCCAATCCCGTGCCGCTATTTTATGCCCTATGCCATGCCCTACCCAGTGCCCTATCCCATGCCCTACCCAATGCCTTACCCCATGCCCCATGCCCTACCCCATACCCTACCCCATGCCCTACCCCGTGCTCTACCCCATGCTCTACCCCATGCCAATATCAGGACCGAGGGGAGCCGGTACCAGCAGAGGAGGCGATTGAAGTGGCGAGAAAAGTGAAGGAGACCTATGGATACACATGCTCCGACCTTGTCAAGGTGTGGATACACATGCTCCGACCTTGTCAAGGTGCAGTGCACCCATGCATGCTCCGACCTTGTCAAGGTGCAGTGCACCCATGCATGCTCCGACCTTGTCAAGGTGCAGTGCACCCATGCATGCTCCGACCTTGTCAAGGTGCAGTGCACCCATGCATGTTAAAGGAGTGAGAAGGAGAGAGAAGGAGAGAGAAGGAGAGGGAAGGAGAGAGAAGGAGAGGGAAGGAGAGAGAAGGAGAGGGAAGGAGAGAGAAGGAGAGGGAAGGAGAGAGAAGGAGAGGGAAGGAGAGTGAAGGAGAGGGAAGGAGAGTGAAGGAGAGGGAAGGAGACGTATGGGTACACATGCTCTGATCTTGTCAAGGTACCTCCAGTCCGTAAACATGCAAACACGCAAACATGTAAACATGCAAACATGCAAACATGCAAACATGCAAACACGCAAACATGCAAACACACAAACATGCAAACACGCAAACATGCAAACATGCAAACACGCAAACATGCAAGCATGCAAACATGCACACATGCAAACATGCAAACATGCAAACATGCACACATGCAAACATGCAAACATGCAAACATGCACACATGCAAACATGCAAACATGCAAACATGCACACATGCAAACATGCAAACATGCAAACATGCAAACATGCACACATGCAAACATGCAAACATGCTGTGATGTACGTGGTTCCATCATCCAGCCATGTACGTGTGTGCTTCCTTCCGCATGCATCCAACTTGCAAGACTCTCCACACGCAAACATGCCAGCATGCACAAGTGCTCCAATCTCATGTGTGTGCATGTGTTGAGGTACACATGTGTTGAGGTACACATGTGTTGAGGTACACATGTGTTGAGGTACACATGTGTTGAGGTACACATGTGTTCAGGTACACATGTGTTGAGGTACACATGTGTTCAGGTACACATGTGTTCAGGTACACATGTGTTCAAGTACACATGTGTTCAGGTACACATGTGTTGAGGTACACATGTGTTGAGGTACACTTGTGTTGAGGTACACAAGTGTTGAGGTACACATGTGTTGAGGTACACGTGTGTTGAGGTACACATGTGTTGAGGTACACATGTGTTCAGGTACACATGTGTTCAGGTACACATGTGTTCAGGTACACATGTGTTCAGGTACACATGTGTTGAGGTACACATGTGTTCAGGTACACATGTGTTCAGGTACACATGTGTTCAGAGGGATGAGCAATATGACGATTCGAGGCGAACCGAACAGGATTTTTTTTTGGCCTAAATTGTTCGGGGCGAATGTGTTCGGTGTTCGCCCGAACACGTTCGCCGTTCGCCCGGCTCAGCTCGCCGAGGCGCGTCGAACACGAACGTGTTCGTGTTCGACACGGGCCTTCGACAAACACCAATGTGTTCGTCGACAAATAGGCCCGCGACCAATTTTTAGGTCGCGGGCCTTGGTGTTTGGGCTCAGATCTGGCCTTTCGCAGTTAGTACAGTGCAGATCTAGCATTTTGCCATTGCTTAAGTGCAGATTGAGCATTTCGCCGTTGCTTAAGTGCGGATCGAGCATTTCGCCGTTGTTTAAGTGCGGATCGAGCATTTCGCCGTTGCTTAAGTGCGGATCGAGCATTTCACCGTTGCTTAAGTGCGGATCTAGCATTTCGCCGTTGCTTAAGTGCGGATCGAGCATTTCGCCGTTGCTTAAGTGCAGATCTAGCATTTCGCCGTTGCTTAAGTGCGGATCTAGCATTTCGCCGCTGCTTAAGTGCGGATCTAGCATTTCGCCGTTGCACGCTGGCACTAGATGGATGAAGCAGGGCGGGACTGGCTTGGGAGGTGGGGGGAGAGAATGTGCGACGATTTGAATTTTACTCTATATTGAATTTCCCCCTGGGCGAACACGAACATGTTCGCCACGAACATGTTCGTGTTCGCCTGTTGCAGCAATTCGTTCGCCTCCTAGGGCGAACGGCGAACACCTATTTTCACTCAAGTCGTTCGCCGAACCGAACACTGTTCGGTTCGGCAGAAGGCCATGTTCGTCAGGGGGCGAACACGAACATGTTCGAGTTCGCCCCCTGCTCATGCCTAGTTCAGGTACACATGTGTTCAGGTACACATGTGTTGAGGTACACATGTGTTCAGGTACACATGTGCTCAGGTACAGCCAGGTGTGGCCGCCCAGCCAGGTGTGGCCGCCCAGCCAGGTGTGGCCGGCCAGCCAGGTGTGGCCGCCCAGCCAGGTGTGGCCGCCCAGCCAGGTGTGGCCGCCCAGCCAGGTGTGGCCGGCCAGCCAGGTGTGGCCGCCCAGCCAGGTGTGGCCGCCCAGCCAGGTGTGGCCGCCCACCAACGCAAGTTCATGTGGCCCTGTCCCCTCATCCCCCTCCTCTTTCTCCCTTTCTCTGTGCCCCCAGGAATTCACCAAGCATGCAAGGGAGCCTTATAAGTACCGCAAGGTCTGGGCCGCCACCAACGGTCATGTCATGTCATGTCATGTCATGTACTCCTGCACCTCCCTTCCCCCCCCCCACCTCCCTTCCCCCACCCCACCTCCCTCTCCCTCCCCCCCCCCCCACACCCCCCTCTCCCCCGCCCCCTGCCCCCCTCTCCCCTCCACCTACCTGTCATCAGGAGTTCACGAAGCACGACAGGGAGCCCAATAAGTACCGCAAGGTGTGGACCGCCACCAACGCGCGCACCAACACGCCCTACCGCTGCGACGTGGGGCATGAGCGGTTTCTGGCTGCTGAGGTGTGTGCGGGGATACACAAGTGTGTAGGGCTTAGGGATATGGTTGGCCTTACTGCTGCGATGTGGAGCACGAGCCGTTCCTGGCTGCTGAGGTGAGTGAGGGGATGCACGTGGGTATTGAAGGGTTTCGGGTTTCGGGGTTCTAGGGGTTCCCACCAACACGCCCTATCGCTGCAATGCGGGGCACGAGCGGTTCCTGGCGGGCGAGGTGAGTGAGGGTTTTGGGTTGATTGTCTCAATGAACGGCCATCAACGATTGTCTCAATGAACGGCCACCAACGATTGTCTCAATGAACGGCCATCAACGATTGTCTCAATGAACGGCCACCAACGATTGTCTCAATGAACGGCCACCAACGATTGTCTCAATGAACGGCCACCAACGATTGTCTCAATGAACGGCCACCAACGATTGTCTCAATGAACAGCCACCAACGATTGTCGTCTCAATGAACGGCCACCAACGATTGTCTCAATGAACGGCCACCAACGAGTGTCTCAGTGAACGCCCACCAACGATTGTCGTCTCAATGAACGGCCACCAACGATCGTCTCAATGAACGGCCACCAGCGATTGTCTCAATGAACAGCCACCAACAATTGTCGTCTCAATGAACGGCCTCCAACGATTGTCTCAATGAACGGCCACCAACGAGTGTCTCAGTGAACGCCCACCAACGATTGTCGTCTCAATGAATGGCCACCAACGATTGTCTCAATGAACGGCCACCAGCGATTGTCTCAATGAACGATCACCAACGATTGTCTCAATGAACGCCCACCAACGAGTGTCTCAATGAACGGCCACCAACGATTGTCTCAATGAACGACCACCAACGAGTGTCTCAGTGAACGTCCACCAACGATTGTCTCAGTGAACGGCCACCAACGAGTGTCTCAGTGAACGCCCACCAACGATTGTCGTCTCAATGAACGGCCACCAACGATTGACTCAATGAACGGCCACCAACGATTGTCTCAATGAACGGCCACCAACGATTGTCGTCTCAATGAACGGCCACCAGCGATTGTCTCAATGAACGGCCACCAACGAGTGTCTCAATGAACGCCCACCAACGATTGTCTCAATGAACGACGACCAACGATTGTCTCAATGAACGACCACCAACGATTGTATCAGTGAACGGCCACCAACGAGTGTCTCAGTGAACGCCCACCAACGATTGTCGTCTCAATGAACGGCCACCAACGATTTTCTCAATGAACGGCCACCAACGAGTGTCTCAGTGAACGCCCACCAACGATTGTCGTCTCAATCAACGGCCACCAACGATTGACTCAATGAACGGCCACCAACGATTGTCTCAATGAACGGCCACCAACGATTGTCGTCTCAATGAACGGCCACCAGCGATTGTCTCAATGAACGGCCACCAACGAGTGTCTCAATGAACGCCCACCAACGATTGTCTCAATGAACGACCACCAACGATTGTCTCAATGAACGGCCACCAACGAGTGTCTCAGTGAACGCCCACCAACGATTGTCGTCTCAATGAACGGCCACCAACGATTGACTCAATGAACGGCCACCAACGATTGTCTCAATGAACGGCCACCAACGATTGTCGTCTCAATGAACGGCCACCAGCGATTGTTTCAATGAACGGCCACCAACGAGTGTCTCAATGAACGCCCACCAACGATTGTCTCAATGAACGACCACCAACGATTGTCTCAATGAACGACCACCAACGATTGTCTCAGTGAACGGCCACCAACGAGTGTCTCAGTGAACGCCCACCAACGATTGTCGTCTCAATGAACGGCCACCAACGATTGTCTCAATGAACGGCCACCAACGAGTGTCTCAGTGAACGCCCACCAACGATTGTCGTCTCAATGAACGGCCACCATCGATTGACTCAATGAACGGCCACCAACGATTGTCTCAATGAACGGCCACCAACGATTGTCGTCTCAATGAACGGCCACCAGCGATTGTCTCAATGAACGGCCACCAACGAGTGTCTCAATGAACGCCCACCAACGATTGTCTCAATGAACGACCACCAACGATTGTCTCAATGAACGACCACCAACGATTGTATCAGTGAACGGCCACCAACGAGTGTCTCAGTGAACGCCCACCAACGATTGTCGTCTCAATGAACGGCCACCAACGATTTTCTCAATGAATGGCCACCAACGAGTGTCTCAGTGAACTCCCACCAACGATTGTCGTCTCAATGAACGGCCACCAACGATTGACTCAATGAACGGCCACCAACGATTGTCGTCTCAATGAACGGCCACCAGCGATTGTCTCAATGAACGGCCACCAACGAGTGTCTCAATGAACGCCCACCAACGATTGTCTCAATGAACGACCACCAACGATTGTCTCAATGAACGGCCACCAACGAGTGTCTCAGTGAACGCCCACCAACGATTGTCGTCTCAATGAACGGCCACCAACGATTGACTCAATGAACGGCCACCAACGATTGTCTCAATGAACGGCCACCAACGATTGTCGTCTCAATGAACGGCCACCAGCGATTGTCTCAATGAACGGCCACCAACGAGTGTCTCAATGAACGCCCACCAACGATTGTCTCAATGAACGACCACCAACGATTGTCTCAATGAACGACCACCAACGATTGTATCAGTGAACGGCCACCAACGAGTGTCTCAGTGAACGCCCACCAACGATTGTCGTCTCAATGAACGGCCACCAACGATTTTCTCAATGAACGGCCACCAACGAGTGTCTCAGTGAACGCCCACCAACGATTGTCGTCTCAATGAACGGCCACTAACGATTGACTCAATGAACGGCCACCAACGATTGTCTCAATGAACGGCCACCAACGATTGTCGTCTCAATGAACGGCCACCAGCGATTGTCTCAATGAACGGCCACCAACGAGTGTCTCAATGAACGCCCACCAACGATTGTCTCAATGAACGACCACCAACGATTGTCTCAATGAACGACCACCAACGATTGTATCAGTGAACGGCCACCAACGAGTGTCTCAGTGAACGCCCACCAACGATTGTCGTCTCAATGAACGGCCACCAACGATTGTCTCAATGAACGGCCACCAACGAGTGTCTCAGTGAACGCCCACCAACGATTGTCGTCTCAATGAACGGCCACCAACGATTGACTCAATGAACGGCCACCAACGATTGTCTCAATGAACGGCCACCAACGATTGTCGTCTCAATGAACGGCCACCAGCGATTGTCTCAATGAACGGCCACCAACGAGTGTCTCAATGAACGCCCACCAACGATTGTCTCAATGAACGACCACCAACGATTGTCTCAATGAACGACCACCAACGATTGTCTCAGTGAACGGCCACCAACGAGTGTCTCAGTGAACGCCCACCAACGATTGTCGTCTCAATGAATGGCCACCAACGATTGTCTCAATGAACGGCCACCAGCGACTGTCTCAATGAATGGCCACCAACGATTGTCTCAATGAACGGCCACCAACTATTGTCTCAATGAACGACCACCAACGAGTGTCTCAGTGAACGCCCACCAACGATTGTCGTCTCAATGAACGGCCACCAACGATTGTCTCAATGAACGGCCACCAACGATTGTCGTCTCAATGAACGGCCACCAGCGATTGTCTCAATGAACGGCCACCAACGAGTGTCTCAATGAACGCCCACCAACGATTGTCTCAATGAACGACCACCAACGATTGTCTCAATGAACGCCCACCAACGATTGTCTCAATGAACGACCACCAACGATTGTCTCAATGAACGACCACCAACGATTGTCTCAGTGAACGGCCACCAACGAGTGTCTCAGTGAACGCCCACCAACGATTGTCGTCTCAATGAACGGCCACCAACGATTGTCTCAATGAACGGCCACCAACGAGTGTCTCAGTGAACGCCCACCAACGATTGTCGTCTCAATGAACGGCCACCAACGATTGACTCAATGAACGGCCACCAACGATTGTCTCAATGAACGGCCACCAACGATTGTCGTCTCAATGAACGGCCACCAGCGATTGTCTCAATGAACGGCCACCAACGAGTGTCTCAATGAACGCCCACCAACGATTGTCTCAATGAACGACCACCAACGATTGTCTCAATGAACGACCACCAACGATTGTCTCAGTGAACGGCCACCAACGAGTGTCTCAGTGAACGCCCACCAACGATTGTCGTCTCAATGAATGGCCACCAACGATTGTCTCAATGAACGGCCACCAGCGACTGTCTCAATGAATGGCCACCAACGATTGTCTCAATGAACGGCCACCAACTATTGTCTCAATGAACGACCACCAACGAGTGTCTCAGTGAACGCCCACCAACGATTGTCGTCTCAATGAACGGCCACCAACGATTGACTCAATGAACGGCCACCAACGATTGTCTCAATGAACGGCCACCAACGATTGTCGTCTCAATGAACGGCCACCAGCGATTGTCTCAATGAACGGCCACCAACGAGTGTCTTAATGAACGCCCACCAACGATTGTCTCAATGAACGACCACCAACGATTGTCTCAATGAACGACCACCAACGATTGTCTCAGTGAACGGCCACCAACGAGTGTCTCAGTGAACGCCCACCAACGATTGTCGTCTCAATGAACGGCCACCAACGATTGTCTCAATGAACGGCCACCAACGAGTGTCTCAGTGAACGCCCACCAACGATTGTCGTCTCAATGAACGGCCACCAACGATTGACTCAATGAACGGCCACCAACGATTGTCTCAATGAACGGCCACCAACGATTGTCGTCTCAATGAACGGCCACCAGCGATTGTCTCAATGGATGGCCACCAACGAGTGTCTCAATGAACGCCCACCAACGATTGTCTCAATGAACGACCACCAACGATTGTCTCAATGAACGACCACCAACGATTGTCTCAGTGAACGGCCACCAACGAGTGTCTCAGTGAACGCCCACCAACGATTGTCGTCTCAATGAACGGCCACCAACGATTGTCTCAATGAACGGCCACCAGCGATTGTCTCAATGAACGGCCACCAACGATTGTCTCAATGAACGGCCACCAACTATTGTCTCAATGAACGACCACCAACGAGTGTCTCAGTGAACGCCCACCAACGATTGTCGTCTCAATGAACGGCCACCAACACGCCCTTTCACCGCGACGAGGTGAGAGGTCCCTTTCTGCCCAAATGAGGTGAGTGGTTGATAGGACGCCCAATGGACGCCCACAAATGAGCGCACCAGCACGCCTTAAATCTGCGATGTGAGTGCGTGGATGTGCTTGGGGTGACGTCTTTGGGGTTCGGGTTTGGTTCTTTGAGGTTTTATTTCAATGGCCAGCCAGCCACCAGTGCTCCAATGCTCTTCTTCTCTCCTGAAATCAGCGGACACCCAAGCCGACTACTGGCAGAGCAGGTGCATGTAGCAGCAGTACAATTGTTTATGACTGCCCCTCTCCACCCCTCTTTGCTCTTCCACTGCACCGTTTCTCCCCATGCTGTTCCTCTATGTGTCTTGCCATGTCAACTACGCCTTCTGCTCCCTCCCTCCCTCCCTCCTTCCCCCCCGGCAGGTCTTCTTCGCCCCAGAGATAGCAGTGAGCAACGTGGGCACGTCGCTGGCGGAGCTGGTGGATGCAGCGGTGCAGACTGCCGCCATCGACACACGCCGCTCGCTCTACAAGGTGACGCTTGTGTGGGTGGGTGATCCAAGGGGTGCTTCCTCTGCACTCAGTGGCGTGGCAGGGCCCCCTCCATCCCCCGCCGGTGCATGCCGCTGCCATCGACACACGCCGCTCGCTCTACAAGGTGGCTGTGTGTTTCCATGGTGTGTGCGACAAGGGGTGCTTCCTTGGGCCGGAGTCGAGGCGGCATCGTGCTGAGAGGGGGAATCGTGACAGTCAGTTGCCTTCCCGGTGGCTCGCCAGCTCATCGCTACTTGCGTGTTTGTGTGCCTTACCCTCCTGCACAACATCGTGCTTTCAGGCGCCTCCACCATGTTCAGGCGGCTCCACCATGTGCAAGGACTTGGACCGATCATTATGGCCTATCCCCATCGTTCTCCCTTCCTCTCCCACTCCCAGAGAGCGTCGTGCGTTCAGGCGCCTCCACCATGTGCAAGGACTTTGACCATAAGGACTTTGACCATAAGGACTTTGACCATAAGGACTTTGACCATAAGGACTGTGACCCATCATTATGGCCCATCCTTCTCCCTTTGATCATTATGGCGCGTCATACCCTTGCCCCCATGTATCCCGTGCCCCCATGACATGTATCCCGCAGAACATTGTGCTCTCAGGCGGCTCCACCCTCTTCAAGGACTTTGGGCGGCGCTTGCAGAGAGACGTGAAGAAAGCTATCGAGGCCCGCATGGCCGGGTCCAGCGAGGTGCGCTTGTAGCAATGAGGTGTGCTTCTAGTGGGATGTGCTTCTAGTGGGATGTGCTTCTAATGGGATGTGCTTCTAGTGGGATGTGCTTCTTGTGGGGTGTGCATTCAGTGAGGTGTTGCCATCATGTTGTTAGCGAGAGATGTGAAGATGTAGCGAGGCCCGCATGGCTGGGTCTAGCGAGGTGCGCTTGTAGTGAGATGTGCTTTTACTTTATTGTGCTTTTAATGGGGTGTGGATATAGTGAGGTGCTGCTATCATGTTGTAAGCGAGACGTGAAGGGAGCTGTTAAGGCCTGGATGCCTGGATCTGCTTCTATTGAGGTGTGCTTAAAAGGAAATGTGCTATCACGTAATGAGGTGTACTAATAAGGAAACGTGCTTCTAGTGAGGTGTGCTTTTAGTGAGGTGGTGTTATCACGTTGTAAGCAAGGCGTGAGGAAAGGCCAGGTTGGCTGGATCTGCTTCTAATGAGGTGTGCTTCTCGTGAGACATGCTTATTGCGGGGGTGTATAATGGCGTGTGGTCACAGAGGTCACGGTGGTGTCCCACCATCTGCACGAGCACCAATTGCACCAACCATTGCTCCTTCCCTTCCCTTCCCTGCCCCCCACCTTCCCTCCACCAACCAGCCCAACGCATCCGACATAGAGGTCACAGTGGTGTGCCACCATCTGCATGCGCACGCTGTGCGGTTCGTTCAGCAGCTCACTTCGCCTCATGCCCCGTCACTTCCCCCCCATACCGTACAGCCCAAGGCATCGGACATAGAGGTGACAGTGGTGTCCCATCATCTGCAGGAGCATGCCGTGTGGTTCGGGGGCTCTGTTGTCGCCTCCTCCCCGGGTTTCCAAGGGGTAAGCCCTGTGTATAATAGTCCAGTGAGTTTAGTTGTCGCCGTCACCTGTTTTCCAAGGAGTGAGCAGCAATACCCTGTTTCATGTGATTCTTTACCGTATATGCTGTTCTTTCGATTGACTCAACCTCTTCACAATGACAGAGGTTGACCGACAGCAGCACAAATTGTCTTTGCATTGGTTCCTGTGTAAGTTCCACCTGTTGTCAGCCGTTTCTTTAAGCCGTGAGTGACGTGTCCTCTATTTGGCACCTCTCTCTGTGCATCCTGCACCAGGTGTGCACCACACGGGCTGCTTGTTTGGAGCATGGACCAAGCACGTGCCGAGAAAACAGGATGATCAGTGCCCGCTTGGCTCCCGTACTCATCGGTTCGTTTCAACGCATTGTGTCTTGTTTTCCTTTTTGCCCTTCCCCCTCTCTGTGCATCCCGCACCAGGTGTGCACCACACGAGCTGCTTACTTGGAGCACGGGCCTAGTGTATGCAGAGCAAACAGAATGATAAGTGCCTCTTTGTCGTAACAATTCTTGATAGACGCACATACCCTAATCACCCGGACATAAGACCTTAGGGTGGAGGGCAGGGCCCTAGATATCCAACTTTTTAGTCTGATTCGGAGCCCGTTCAGACTTTTTTTTTGTACCTAGTCTGCACTCCAAGATTTTTTTTATGTACCCTGTCTGATCTTTCAGAGTTTTTTTGTATGAGCTGTCTGTAATTTCAGGCTAATTTTAGAAGTGTAGTCTGAGCCTCAGGGTACATTCCGCTCTTGACACAAATGTCTCAATCGCGTCATAAAACCGCTGTACCAGTCTGCACCGCATTACACCTAAGTGTTGAACATTTCCACCACACTGCATCTCTTCGTTTGAGACGCGAGGCCTTTGTGACGCGCTTCAGGAATGTACCCTCAGACTTGTATCGGGGGTGCACTCTGAAACCGGTCAAACAGGGGTTTCCGCCAACCTGGCGGCGTGTAGCACTAACGCCGTCAATCACGGGCCAAAGTTCACCGAGCGCAGCACCGCACAGTCGCGTTGGTACAGAATTGCTGTAATCAGTACCAATTCCAACCAATCGCGGCTACGCAGCATGAAGTGTTGGCAAGATTCCTTGCCAACGCATAACTGGCAGCGCCCCCCCCCCCCCCCCCCCCCCCCCCCCCCCTTGCTCGACACCACAACCATCCACCACACCCCACCTTCCTCGCTGCCAACACATAGCTCGCAGCGCGCTGCCACTCTCATATGACCACATCCATCCACCCCATTCACCCCACCTTCACTGCTTTCACGACCAGGTGCCGTGCATGCAGTGACCACCTGGGTGATGAGAGGTCCTAATAAGAGGACCTCTCAACTTCCTCTTGGTCACCGTTCTCAGTCTCTCTCGCCCAGTTGCCTCGCCTGAAATTAGTGCTGGAGCCCTTGTTTCAGGCTCCCTTTTCCGAGTTTGCTACACCACTGCTCGGCAGACTCTATGGCAGCCACAGACGCTGCCGATGATGTGGCCGACGATGACGATGATGCCGACGGTCGCCCAGTTCCCGACCCTCTCACCGACCTAGACTTCCTACAAACGGTCTTACTGAAGCATGGGCCATCGCCTGCGCCACCGTCGCAACCCACCTCGAGGAGCCCTTCGATTCCCAGGGTCTCTGCACCTCTGCACGAGGCCGTCACCGAACCAGTCACCGCTGCGCAACAGACGGTGCCCCATGAGGCGTCCGTCGAAGCACCTTCCCGTCCCGCGCCACCGACGAAGCTGCGGTACCGCCAGACCATGTTTCCGTGGGCAACTCCACCTCCTCCATCGACCGTTGAAACTCCAGCGAGCGATGAGTCTCCCATGCAGGACAGCTCGAAGCCCAAGTTCGACAGCTTTGAGCTGAAATACGAAGAAGCTCATGAGCGTTTCAAGACTAGGTGGTCTACCGATTATTCATGGTTGATTCTTACTAAAACCTCTTCTGGTGCCCCTTCTTTCAAGTGCAGTATTTGCTTGGAGTTTGCGGGCTTGACTGGCAAGTGTGGACGGCGTGACGAGGGCGCGACCGACGTGCAGACACAGTCCTTCAAGAAGCACGAAGGGACTGTGAAGCACCGATTTGCTCTGAAACGGCAGGAGGATCTGCTGCAGAACTACCGGCGACAACAGCGCATCGACATGCACCCGAAGGCACAGGACAAGGAGCTGTTGCAGGTTTTGTCGCTCGTGGACTCACTGTACTTCATGGGGAAGTGCAACGGGCCCATGGACTCGTGGATCTGGCTGGTGCCCCTACCTGGCGAAGAAGAAGGTGCCCGGGTTTCCAGAGCAGGGGTACGGCACATACTACAACACGTAAGTAAATTCGGTTGTAGTAAGCACCGTGTATTGAGGTGTCACTCCTTGACCGTTGCTGATGCCTTTTGTTTTTTTTGTGTAGGTACGGTTTCGGAGAACTCACTCAGGCAATTGCAACGTGGCTCCAAACAACGCAACTGGACCACCTTCTAACGAGCCCCTTCATCGGGATTACTCTGGACGAGAGCACCGACCGGCGGTGCGGCAAACACATGATTGTGATTGCCACTTTTCTTCGCGAAGGTCAAGTTGTGACTGAGTTCATCGCCCACCTAACGATTGAGAAGGCTGACGCTGCATCGTTGTGTAGTTTGTTGATTTCCCATCTCAGGGCAGTCGGCGTGGATCACCGTCGGATTTCTGGTGTGAGCACGGATGGAGCCTCGGTGATGGTGGGGGCACAAAATGGTATGGTTGCCCGTCTTCGGATGCTCATCCCCAACCTGGTCTCGTTCCACTGCATTGCTCACTGGTGAGTACGTGCTTATGCAGTGATGTTGAGACGCGGACTTTTTTGTTTCTTTTCTAGCCGAGCTTGTTGCAATGTTTTGCACGGAGGCGTTGGCTGCCAAAGCCGCGGCAGAGGCGATTCCAACCTTCAACATGGTTGACGACATGATCCGCTCCGTCGCAGAGTATCTCGGGCGGTCGTTACCATGGCATCAGCGGTTCATGGAGCTGCAGGAGGTGTTCACGTCGACAAACCTTGAGGTGCAAGGGATTTGCGACGTACGGTGGCTTTCAAGAGGTGCTGCAGTCGCACGCTTTGTCCAAGTCCTTCCCTCCGTCATGGTGATGTTGTCGGAGTGGAAGGACTAGACCATGTACGAGCTCGTGACGTCGTACAGGTTCCAGTTCCTGATCAGGTTCCTCGCAGACCTTCTCGAGCAGCTCAACGTCCTCTCGTCGGTTTTCTAGAAGCGGGAGGTTAGTATCTTGGGTGTGTGGTTTGTCTTGTTTCCAACACTAATCCCGGTGTACTGACTTTTGTTTAACTTTTGTTTTGCAGCTCGACTACGCGTTGGTGCACACCCAGATCGTGCGTACAACCTCCCTGTTGGAGAGCCGGTACATCAATTGTGGTGATGACTTCGTGGGGGTGCCCAACGAGAGGCTGTACCACTTCATTGAGAAGCATGGTCCGACGGGGTCACCAGAAATGGTGGTTGAAGGAGCATCGTCGGACGGCAGTCTCAGCCGCTTCAAGATTACCCTTCACGAGCGCACAAACCCGAACTATCGTGGGCCGGGTCATCACCAAGCCTGCGTGGCGCTCTGCACCGACATGGCCGAGCTTGTCGTCGAGAACCTCCAGTCAAAGCTAGGCGACCTTGACTCTCTTTCCGGAGTGAGACTATTTATTTCGGACGGATGGCAACCAAACTGGGAGTGAGATGCACGGCAGGCACAGTGCCAGGAGTGGTTGTTGTCGCTTGTGACGTTGTTCCGCGCAGATGAGTCCGACGAGATCCTACTAGGTCAGTTACCCTGTGTGTTACCCTGTTCCCCTTAGAAACCGCATGGTTAACTAAACCCGTGTCCTGTCTAGCCTTGCAGGCATTGACAATAAGCGGGCCTTTAAGGAGCTGCGGACTCTGTGTCCGGTCCTTGCCAGGGCGCCGAAGAGCGAGCGAAAGTTCCACACGGAACTCCATGCCATTCTCAAGACACCAGACTGGCAGCAAGCATACCCCAACCTCATCGGCCTTTGGGTGGCTATTGCAGTGCTTCCTCTCAGCACTGTCGAGTGTGAGAGAGGGTTCTCTCGACTGAATCTCATCAAAACGTGGCAGCGGGGCAATATTAAGGATTGCAGGCTTAGTGATCTGCTGTTTATTTCAATGCTAGACTATGAGCTAGATGTCCCTGGGGTAGTGGAGATTTGGCGCAGCTACAAGAAGCGCCGGCCAGTCACAGCTCCTGCTGCAAGACACAGGGAGGAGCCCCTGAGGCCTGGGAAGGAGCCTATAGATGAGTCAATAGTGGTGGCATGTGCTCCTGTAAAATCTCTGTTAGACCCTGATGCATAAATGTGAATTTTGTTAGTGCCTCGGCATCAGAGTAAAATTTGGGTGTTAGTCTGTGAGATCAGCGTTGAAAGTTAAATTCAGTCTGTACTTTCAAACTAAAAATTGCTGCCAACTCTGACAGCCAGAGTACCAGGAGGGGTGCACTATGAGCCCTCAGAGTGCCCCAAAACGAATCTAGGGGCCTGGTGGAGGGGGGTGGGGGAAGCATCTAAGGTCCTTCACTATTTGTAACAATTATTGTAGGGCTAGTATTATTTGAGCCTACCATAATCGGTGTTGGAGTAAGAAGGGAATTGGCTTAGCATTTCCGTAGGTGCAACAATATCGCACCCGTCACTATTGAAGCAGCGTTAGCAGTAGTATCGGATCAGCCCATACAAGGGCAGGAAGGTCAACAGTCGCAAAAGTGAACTGTCGCGACTGTTGACCATCTAGACCGACGACTCACGAGCGAAGAATAGCAACAGGCGTAACTGTCCATACAGTTTACACGCAACAACTCGATAACAGAGAAAATTGCAAAAGACGGAGTCACTGTAGAAATTGTTAGAGTGAGGATCTTAGATAGGATAGGAATGCTTTAGAAGAGTTTGGTAGCAGAAGTCTTGTTGTAGGTGTCAAACTACAATGCTACTTCTGTTGTGTAGGCTGTAGTGGGGAAGCCTATATGGGGTACAACCCAATTAGGGTTAGTACTTGTACTCTGTTTGATCTCAATGGAATCATTCCTGCTCGTTAGGTTCCGACATGGTTTCAGAGCAGTAGGTCCGTAAGACCGTTTTTTTTTCGCTCCCACCATTACCTAGTGACTGACTGCGGTTACCACGTTACCCCATGCCCTGTCCTGCACTGCGCCGTCAGCGTGCGTCACACTGCCCGTGTACGCCCTGCCCTACCCCGCGTCGTGCTGCCCCGCGCACGCCCTACCCTGCCCCGCGTCGCGCTGCCCCGCGCACACCCTGCCCTGGCCCGCGTCGCGCTGCCCAGCGCACGCCCTGTCTTGCCCCGCGTCGCGCTGCCCCGTGCACGCCCTGCCCTGCCCCGTATTGCGCTGCCCCGCGCACGCCCTGCCCTGCCCGGCGTCGCGCTGCCCCGCACACGCCCTGCCCTGCCCCGCATCCCGCTGCCCCGCGCATACGCTGCCCTGCCCCGCGTCCTGCTGCAGCCCGCGCCCTGCTGCCCTGCGTGTCACGCTCTGCTGCAGCCCGCGCGTCATGCTCTACTGCTCTGCGCGTCGCGCCCTGCTGCAACCCGCACGTCGCGCCCAGCTGCCCTGCGCGTCGCGCCCTACAGCAGCCCGCGCGTATCGCTCTGCTGCCCCGCGCGTATCGCTCTGCTGCCCCGCGCGTCGCGTTCTGCTGCAGCCCGCGCGTTGCGCCCTGCTGCCCCGCGCGTCGCGCCCTGCTGCAGCCCGTGCGTCGCGCCCTGCTGCCCTGCACAGCGCGCGCCCTGCTGCCCGCGCCGCCCAGGCCGAGCCGCGCCGCCCAGCCCGAGCCGCCCTGCCCAACCCGATCCGCCCTGATTCTCGTGCTACTGCTGCTGCTGGTGGAGGTGCTGCTAGGAGTGCTGGAGGTGCTGCAGCCTAGCCTCACCGAACCGCTCTGGTGCTCTTACTGCTGCTACTGCTGCTTGTGCTACTGCCTTCCCTCCGTACTGCCCTATTGGTCGCGCCTCCATACTTGCCCGCTATGACTTCACTTCGTAGTAGCGGTGGGAGTGGTGACAGCGGTGGTGGCAGCAGTGGGATTGGTGGCGACCGTAGTAGCAGTTGCTGTGGAGCTGTTCGGTGGGGAGTTTCTGGCGGTGGCCAGATGCAGCTGCAGCGGCGTCCGCGCGAGACCCTTCAGCCCAGCAGCTTCGTGAGTGGTACGCTCTAAGTGGGGGGACTTGGAGTACTGTCCGCTGCCCGTACGTCATTCGCACAGGTGATCAGGCTGGTCAGACTTGCGGGACAGTTGGTCACATATAGGCTCGCTGCTTCGTGTGTCTGAGCGACGCCTGGCGTGCAGTGTTTGGCAACGAGGCTGAGCTCCCCTACTGGCTAGAGCTGCTTCAAAACAAGGTGGATATCTTTGCTCTAGACTATGACACTATCCTCACTGCCATGTATGCTTTGACTATTAGTACCCAGGGTGACTTTTACCTGTGTGTGCCACCCGACCCTGATATAGCGACTGCTGCTTTAGGTGCTGGAGAGCCTGCTCTAGGTGGTGGTGAGTCTGCTCTCTCTGGTACTGCGCTTGCTGAGGCCTTGCACACCTTCACGCTTGACTCAGGTGCTTCCCGCTGCTTCTTTCGCGGCAGCACCATAGTCACACCACTCGCAGCACCGGTTGCACTCTCTCTGGCTGACCCCTCTGGGGGACCGGTTCGTGCACGTTCCTCCACTGTTCTCCCGTGTCTGGCGGTTCCGTCTGGCTCACTGTCAGGTCTTCACCTCCCCTCTTTCTCTACGAACTTGGTGAGTAACTCCGTCCTTCAGGATGCTTGGGTTCTTACCTTAATCCCTGGAGGACAGCGTGTGGCGATCTGCACGTGTGCACGGACGGGCCGTCAACTGGCCACATTCACCCGTCAGCCTGGGTCGAGCCTGTACACACTGACTACTGAGCCTCCTCAGGTAGCTGCGTTTGCGTATGCGTCAGGTCAACTAGCAGCCCCCTGTTCATGTCGTCTCCTGTCGCACCAGACTCTCCTTTGGCACCACCACCTTGGTCACCCCTCCCTGCCACGCCTCTGTGGCATGCACTCCCGCCTCCTTGTCTCTGGTCTTCCCAGGTCCCTGCCTCCCCTCCCACCCTCGCCTGCCCCTCCCTGCCTTCCCTGTGTCGAGGGGCGGCAGCGCGCCGCTCCTCACTCCTCCTCGTTTCCCCCGACAAATGCTCCCCTACAGACTCTCCACATGGACGTGTGGGGCCCAACCCATGTCCAGGGACAGGGCCGCGAGGGATACATCCTGCTGGTTGTTGACGACTACTCGCGTTACACCACGGTCTTCCCCTTGCGCAGCAAGGCGGAGGTCCCTGATGTTTTGATCCCTTGGATCCGCGCTGTCCGTCTCCAGCTCCGCGAGCGGTTCGACACGGACCTTCTTGTCCTTCATCTGCACTCTGACAGAGGTGGTGAGTTCTCCTCCGACCTCTTGCGGGACTTTTGTCGTGGGGAGGGCATCCTCCAGTCGTTCACGCTTCCGGCCTCTCCTCATAAAAATGGGATAGCTGAGCACCGCATTGGCTTAGTCATGGAGGTGGCTTGTACCTCCATGATCCATGCGGCTGCTCCCCATTTTTTGTGGCCGTTTGTAGTCCGGTACACTGCGCATCAGCTCAACCTCTGGCCCCGTGTCGGAGACCTCGCCGACACTGCGTTGGACGGGAGAGGTTGGCGATTCGTCAATGTTCCGGGTCTGGAATTGTCGTGCCTTTGTCCGCGATACCTCCGCGGACAAGCTCTCCTCCCGCGCCGTTCCCTGCGTCTTCCTTGGCTTTTCCCTCACGCCGTGTCCTATCCTCTCAGGACGTCATATTCGACGAGTCGGTTCCCTTTTACCGTCTCTTCCCCTACCGCACTGCCCCTCTTCCCCCCCTGCCGCTCTTCCTCGCTCCTGGTCCCCCTCCGGTAGACCCCCTCCCCCCTCAGAGTCCTGCTCCTTCAGGTGTGTCTCAGGTAGACCCACTCCCCTTGGTTGAGCCTGTCGAGGTCGCTCGTGACTCTGGTGCTGCTCGGGGTGCTGCGTCTGGGGGTGCTGCGTCTGGGGGTGCTGAGCCAGCGGTTGCGGAGCCTGATCGT